AGCAGAGGCAACAGAGGGCAAAAGGGGGGAGGGGGAACACCCCTCAAAGACGGGGGTGCGAGGGTCACCACGAGAGGCTCCTACAGCGACTATGCTCTTCTCTGCTGCTAGGAGGGACTTCTCGAGGAGGTCAACGGTGAGAGTGGTGGGGCAGACTGAGAGGAAGTGGTCCCTGACTATGTGAAGGGAGTCAGGGAGCCGGGTGACTATGTAGTAGAGGGTGATGTACATGGGGGGGGGGTTCTTGGCGCAGAACTCAGCAGGAAGCGCAGCGCGGTAGCGAGTGTCACTAGTGCGAAGGTGCGTAATGAGGTCAGCGACTGTGGGAAAGGCAGCAAGGTCAGGGAAGAGGTACGGTAGCATGAGGCGGCTCAGTGCAGCAGTGGCAGGGGAGGAGTAGCGCGCAACTACAGCGTCGTACAAGGTCTGAGCACTCTTGTACTGGCTAAAGTGCGCACGCTCAGAGGTAGGCAGGTGGCGACGCACAGCAAGACGTGCAGCAGCATCGCGAGTGGCCCACTGTGAGCGAACAGTGGCGTCAGCATCAGCAGCAGGGGCAGGAGAGGCACCTGAGGTGAGGTCAAAGAGGGAGAGACCGTCTGCCCTATCGCACTGTAGGAAAAGCTGCAGGTCATCTACCCAGACTTCAAAGTCAATGGCCCGACCCTCGGCGTAAAAAACGAGGACACTAGGGGTAGCCATGACAGCAGTAGACTAGCAGCGGGAACAGTAAGGCAAGGGCAGTGCAGTGACAGAGGCTCTGCTCTTACCGGACAGGGCGGCTCGGGTGGCTCGGCGGCTCGGCGGCTCGGCAGCTCGGCGGCTCGGGCGGCTCGGGCGGCTCAGCGGCAACAGCGGCTCGGCGACTCGGCGGCTCGGGCGGCTCGGGCGGCTCGGCGACTCGGTGGTCCGGGCGGCTCGGCGGTCGGTTGCTGGGCGGCTCGGCGGCTCGGCGGCTCGGCTGCTGGGCGGCTCGACGGCTCGGCGGCTGGTGTGGCTGGTGCGACTGCTGCTGCAGAGACGGCGGCGGCTGCTGCCTCAGGGACGGCAGTGGCCGGCCGCTAGGGGCCGCGTCAGGTGCAGTAGAGGGCCGCGTCAGGGGCGGCGTAGGGGTCGCAACAGGGGCGGCGAAGGGGCCGCGTCAGGGGCCGCGTCAGGGGCCGCGGCAGGGGCCGCGTCAGGGGCCGCGTCAGGGGCCGCGTCAGGGGCGGCGTAGGGGCCGCGGCAGGGGCCGCGTCAGGGGCCTCGTCAGGGGCCGCGGCAGGGGCCGCGTCAGGGGCGGCGTCAGGGGCGGCGTAGGGGCCGCGGTAGAGGCGGCGGAGGGGCCGCGTCAGGGGCCGCGCCAGGGGCCTCGTCAGGGGCCGCGCCAGGGGCCTCGTCAGGGGCCGCGGCAGGGGCCGCGTCAGGGGCGGCGTCAGGGGCGGGGCCGCGGTAGTGGCGGCGGAGGGGCCGCGTCAGGGGGCCGCGTCAGGGGCCGCCTCAGAGGCAGCGTCAGGGGCCGCGTCAGGGGCCGCGTAGGGGCCGCGTGAGGGGCCACGTCAGGGGCTGCGTAGGGGCCGCGTCAGGGGCCGCGTCAGGGGCTGCGCAGGGGCCGCGTCAGGGGCCGCGTAGGGGCCGCGTCAGGGGCCGCGTAGGGGCCGCGTCAGGGGCGACGTAGGGGCCGGGTAGGGGCCGCGTAGGGGCCGCGTGGGGGCCGCGTAGGGGTCGCGTAGGGGCCGCTAGGGGGGGGGGGGGGGGGGGGGGGGGGGGGGGGGGGGGGGGGGGGGGGGGGGGGGGGGGGGGGGCGCTAAAAAAAAAAATTAGGGCAGGGGCGCAATGCGCGTCGGGCAGCTAAAAAAAAAAATCGTTATGGTGGGCCCTTAGGAAGGAACGGTCCCATGTAGGAACCCGCTCTATACCATGTGAAACAAGAAAACAGGAATGAAATGACTAAGTGAAAGTTGGGTACAAAAGGCAAACCCTAGAAAACTGTACCCCATATGTGCTACCCCACTATAGCCTACAGTAGCTATGTCATATAAATCTGACACGGACCGCCTTGTTCACAATCTGGAGGTCAGGGAACGCGGTTGCTGCATCTTTTGCTGCCAGCGCCTCCCTGCATGAATCAACCGAAACATTTTAGTACACGCAAGATAGGCAAATCAACATACAACTTGGTATAACTCGCCTGTGAGCGACACAGTGGCACGAAACGAGATGAGGAATCTTCGTGCGCAGCCGCGCGACCAACCCGTTGTGCTGGCCAGTCATCACAGAAGCGCCGTCTGTGCTCATACCGCTAATGCGCTGCAGATCGATGCCCGCCGTCTCAAAATGCGTTAGCAGGCCAGTTAGCAGCGAGGCGGCGTCACACTGCTCCACTGAGAGCAGGGTGTAGAACTCCGTGACTGGAAGGTTGTCGCGCACGAAGGTCATGTATACTATCATATGCTTCCCGCGCCTACGGTCCGTGCTCTCATCCAGCTGGATCCCGAGAAAGGGGCTGGCTCGGATGTACTGCAGCTGACGGGACCGCAGGTATGACACCATCGTCGCCACTAGCTGTGCAAAACCGTACCTGTAACACAAAAACAATAGGGGCGTGAGCATGGTGGAGCAGACACACAGATATAAGCGGGATACAGAAATTTTACTCACTCGCTGTAGTACGTGCCGTTTTCCTTCATGGGCATGTCCGGCGTGCCCTGCTCAGCCATGAATTGAACAAGAGCAACGAAAAGCACAATAGGGGCGTCAGATTTGCAGATGAAGAGAGCGATTGCCATTAATCGAGCAATTCGCCTGGCGTCGTCGTCACCCTTGTCGAAGGTTGTCATGGACTTCTGGCCTTTCTTAAGGCCATCACGTTGTTCCTTCTGCAGCACCGCGGCCTCGTGCTTCACGCTGAAATGATTCTTGCGCATCGTCTGCTTCTGAATGTCGAGGCCGCCTTCACCGTAGCGGCCGTACTTGTAGTGCGGGTCCCCGAACACCATACAGACGCTGCAGCGCATGCACGGTCGCCCGTCCTTCGTCTCACTGATGAAGAGCCACGAGAAATAGCGAAGCCACTGCTCCTTACACTTGAGCTGCAGCTCTTCCACAGAGAGCGGCCGACGTCCCTTGGTTTTGCCCTTGTCCTCTTCTTCCGAATCGTCATCGGCGGATTGACGAGTCGTGGGCGGGACCGTCTCCGATGGCGCGGGCAAGGTAGGACCTGCGGGACGGGCAAAGTTAAGCATCCTCTGCTTGTATTTAGCTTTCAGTGAAGCCCTGTCAGGCAGCACAGGGTTAGCCCGAAGATCGGTGGTAGTTGCAACAGAAACAACAGGGCGGATGGATTCACGGCCGGATGTAGGCGAGCTTGTCGACGTGGGCATGGTAGCCTTGGGCATGCCATCGTCCGCCTTTTCTTCGGCCACAGTGTCTGGCGATGCGTTGGTTGGGGGTATAACTTGGGTTGAGCACGAGGCAACGTGGGGTGCAACGACGGGGATCGACTTGCCCCGTATGAGAAAATCTAGCGCTGAGACTCTAGGGGGGTGTAACTCCTCTGGAATGGCCATCAGGGGGTATGGCGAAAGTGGAAAACTGCACTGCGGGGCCAGTCGAGTGTAGCGGAAGAAAAGGATGTAGAAGATGGACGGTGTGCCCCCAGCCTGGTCCCTCAAACCCTCGTCCCGTAGCTCGGCAGAGTGATACGCGGTGCGAGTGTGGGCGGGGAACCACAGTTACGTGCATCCGCGATGCATACAGGTCACCCCATCGCACAAAAGGATAGTGCCGGTGCCTGGGTGTAGCTGGCATCGGCGCCGACACCCACGCAGCGACAAAGTGCTGGCAGCATCTGACATGGTTAACTGCTGCCAGCGGTGCTGTTTCCTCCAGCGCGGATGCTACGGGACAGAAGCATTCATTACGCATGCATGTATAGATGCTGGCAGATACCCTAACTAGTGGCCCTATGGACAAGTGGGCACAAATGTCGGTTTCATACGGAATCGTACTCGTTATCTGGATTCTCAGATGAAGAATAGTATGCGATCTGAAAATTTATCTCAAGTAAAATCATTTGTCTTACTGATCATATGAAAATAAAATCACAGTCTTACAGATCATCTGAAATAAGAAAATGAAGTCTGAAACGCAGACCATCAGACCAAATTGGTCTGATAACGAGGGCCCTGCTGTACATCCCTTTTTTCAACCGCTTGGCTGGGGTGTGGTTTCGACGAGCGGGATTTTTTCCCGCACGAAATTGGCATTGCAGGCTGTCCAGGTGCATTGACATTTCGAGCAGCGTGCGAATTTTTCACATTGACGAGTCAGATTACAATTCGTCAGCCACGTCAGCGCGTTTCACGCTGACCAATAAAAAATACAGTAATGGTCGCGGAAATGCGACTCGCAATTGGGACACACTACAGTTTATGCTGTTTTTGTGTGTCACAAAGCGATTGAGACATTTGTGTCTCCACAGGAATGCACCCTTATGCACTGTACCTGTTGCGTGTAATGGAATAATAGTTCGATGCTATTGATATTGAGAGCCTAGTGATTAGCTTCAATACACTCAACTGGCAAGCAATGTCTGGTGGGATAGTACCTAATTGGAATCTGCTCAAGATGACCAGCTGGATCTCAGCTCAGCTCAGCAAGGAGCAGTTTGGCTTTTGTTATTCTGGGCTACTACGTAGCGCATGGTCCCTTAAAGAATAGCTGTTTTGTTTACCACTGGTCCATTGGTCCACTCACAACTGAGCATTTCTGCCCATGCAAGCTATGGTTGGTATTGATGGTGCATAAATGCAACATACCGGTAGCTAGGGTAATGTTCAACGGCATTACAATGACATACGGTAGGCGGGAGCTCAGGCGTGTTCCTGGTACGGTACTGCCGGTACTCAGAGAGACCACTGCAGAGAGTGTAAGTGCGGTAGAAGAAATTAATGCTGAGAGTATCGTATCTGGAAGAGACCACTACTGACATATGGCAAACGAGTGACTAGAAATTAGAATCAAACCGGATGCGGCGGGACCACAACCCAGAGCAGCAGAACAAAGGTGATGCGACGCGGTGTGCATGCAGTGCCACACCCCTTCACCCCTCCTCTTTCCTCCTCCCTCAAGCTGTTCACAGCCTGCAGATTGCATGCCACACCATGACATGCCACACCATGACATGCCACACCATGCCATGCCACACAACGCCATGACACACCATGCCATGCCACACCATGCCAGCCACATCATGCCATGCCACACCATGCCATGCCACACCATGCCATGCCACACCATCCCATGCCACACCATGCCATGCCACACCATGCCATGCCACACCATCCCATGCCACACAATGCCATGCCACACAATGCCATGCCCACCATGCCATGCCACACCATGCCATGCCACACCATGCCATGCCACACCATGCCATGCCACACCATGCCATGCCACACCATGCCATGCCACACCATGCCATGCCATACCATGCCATGCCACACAATGCCATGCCACACCATGCCATGCCACACCATGCCATGCCATACAATGCCATTTCACACCATGTCATGCCACATCGGAGATTATGCGAATACATTTGTTAACATGTTAATTAGGCTTTCACCCGTCCAATACCCAGTCACTCACCTCAGAAATAATCCCTTTCACTCACCTCCTTTCGCCAGTCCTCTCAATGCATTTCCCCTCTACTCCCCTCCGCTCCGCCCACCTTCGCCTTTCTTCTCCCCTCCGCTCACCTCCCCTCCCCTCCCGTTCTCCCTTTTTCACGTCTTGCGAACAGGCTGGGACCGTCGACGCGCACTCAAGTCCAGGCAGATGAGGGGAGCGCGGAAAGGGGAGGGAAAAGGCGGAAAGGGGAAGGGAAAAGCGGAAAGGGGAGGGAAAGGCGGAAAGGGGAAGGGAAAAGCGGAAGGGTACGGAAAAGGCGGAAAGGGAAAGGGGAAAGCGGAAAGGGGAGGAGAAAAGCGGAATGAGTAGGGAAAAAGCGGAAAGGGGAGGAGAAAAGCGGAAAGGGGAGGGGTAAGGGGAAATCAAAGGGGAAATGGGCGCTTCCCCGTTTCTCCAGTCCTCTACGTCCATTTGCCCCTATTCTGCCCTCTGCTCACCTCCACTCACCTCCCGTCCTCCTTTTCCGCGTCTCGCGTCCAGAATACAGTCGACAATCTGAAGTCACGAGGGGGAAAGCGTAAAGGGGATGGGGAAGGAGAAATTACCGTCACCTCCACTCACCTCCTTTTCCGCGTCTTGCGTCCAGGATACCGCCGACGCTGTGAAGTCGACGAAACGCGATGTCTAATCGACGAAACGCGAGTCGCTACCAATGCATTAGAAATCGACGCTACTAATTCGTCCGCTACGAATGTTTCTAGTCCGTCCGCTACTACACATGTGGATAGAAGTCAGATCTGGAGCGCACAACTTAGACTGTCTTACCGAGACTGCAATAAGTTTCAGATCCGATACTGCTAGCATGCCAATAGAAGAGTAAAGTGATTAAAAATGAGCAAGACCGAGAGCGTGAGCTACATGAAATATTCCGCTATCATGAAAAGCCGTACACCTAACCACCGCTATTTTCAAGGGGAAACCCAACCCACTAATCTCACGTTTCAAAGTTTCCCTGCACGTTTTCGACTATTTCAGTTCGACACTTAGATGACTGGGGCTATGAATGACGCCTAATGCTCGAAGTTTAAACTCATTATGCGAATCTGAATCCATAGCGCCACTTCTACACACTCTCTTCGGGGATCTGGAACAGACTCTCACAAAAATTTAATGATGCCCCACACAACCCTCGGTCGAAGATTTAGAAAGGGTGCATACCCCACTTGTGCAAGTGGGGTTGAAAATAGACCGAAAGAAAATAGCGGTGGTTAGGTGTACTAACTAGATCGACAACCGCGCTGAGATCTTCTTCATGAAATAAAAAAAATCGTAACTAACGAGATGAGTGGCGAAACTACTGCTAAATGCAAGTTATTGTGAGCTAATACAAGTCACATACATCTGGGAAATGGCGGGTGAAGTAATAGTGGCAGGTTCGGAGTACCAGGTCCGGTGGTTGTGCCAGGGTGTCAAAAACACCTTCATTCCATTGGTTCCCGTAACTTTTCCTCACCCATCCATTGTTATTTCAGCTGCCCGAGAAACTTGATGAGAGTGCGGCCAATATCATTGACACTCAAAGTATGCTAGAGAAAGCTTGCTTCGGTACTCAACCTAGATTTCTCATCGCTGATTAGTTCTCGCTTTTCAATCACACTTTTTTCGCAAATAAAACCTCCGAAATGTGACAGAAACAAAACGCGATAAGCTGTACAATTATGTCGAGGTGCTAACCAAGAAATATAAGTTGTATCAAGCGCAAATTGCGATAAAAAACCATCACGAAAAAAGATGCAGACTGGAAATTAATTCAACGGAATGGAGTTGTCGGCACCGTCAACCCCCCGTCAACCATGGACCTGCTAACTTAGAACAGAAGAAAACTAAAAGTACATCGAATTACATGTTTTCTAACGAAGACATCAACCTTAAACGTCATGCGACAATGTGTTTAAGGTTGATGCCATCCGGACTGGATGCCGTTCCGCATGGAGCTTTATTTTAATTGCCTGCGGGCAGCAAGCTCTGCTGGATGGTGTAGTTGTTCTGAACACTTGACGGCTCGTTTAAGGTTAATATCCGAGCGTTTTAGTATTTCTCCTGTTTTGTTGGGTACGTGCGGTTGAGGTGCTGGTCATGACTTTGTTTTAGGATTGCGCTTGAAACTAAATTACAAGATAAGTAAAGTTACTTTACCGAGACGATGTTGGTTGATTACGTTCGCGAATCGCGCCTCGCATAATCTGAGTATCAATGATATTGGCCGATGAAAGTGAGCCAGCTGACTTTCCCTGAAGCAAAGCCGTCCCGAACATCACACAAAACCCACGCGGCTAAAAAAAAACAATACGGCCCAAACCAACTAAAGACAGCGCCACGTCAACCACCTCGTAGAAAGCTCGAGCCTATCCTGCTGTTGCATATCAGCGTCGTGAGCAAACGTCCATGACCAAAATTCCTCGCCAATGGCAAACGCGTTTGCATCGAAACAAGTCAATCCGATTTGTGTAACCCCAATGTGCAAAATTAATGTGCTGTACTACTTGGGTTGAATTGAACTGGATGGACAAGGCCGGGACAAATTTTCAGCCACCTCAAACTGTTCTTCGCGCGCCGCTCAACGAATGACCCCTAGTCTCCTGCCACAATCTCGGCGCCGCAATTTATTGGTCCATCATACAATCCACCACACCTTCCCACCGTTGTCGTCGACTGCACCACCACCATCCATCCATTCACATCACATTGTACTTATTCGCACCGCGCACACATCCGGGTGTCAGGATTCACGAATTCCCTGCCACACAGCGGCAGCACAACATGCCGCTTGAGCTGAGCTAAGACGCACCGTTAGAGCCGCCGTTCAGAATGGCGGATTTGTATCCACCAATCATCAGAAAGCTTACCCTTATGTTTCAGCAGCTACCATTTGTTTGCATCTCCCTCGAGCATCTCATCGCTTCATATAGTCTAGCGATGTTGCATTTGTGTAGTTATTTTTCTCGAAACTCCAAATCAATGAGCTCACCCGGATGGTACACGAGGACATCAAGGCATGAGGCGGCGTTGAGTTAGAAAGTCGGGTGTGGGGTGGGTTGGTAGAGAATCGTGAGGAGCGAGCTGCTGAGTGCCTTGGCTGAACCGTGTACTGTACCGAAATTTCCGCAGCAACCTTTTTCACCGCTAAATTTGCACCGCCATATCTACGTGGTGCGACCATATCTGCAAGGTTTTCGTTAAACGACCTTCACGCGACGAAGATATACGACGAGTTTTTCGCAGCGAGGTCTACGTTCCGAACTCGTAACGGAACGGACTGTCAGATTTATATGACATAGCTACTGTAGGCTATAGTGGGGTAGCACATATGGGGTACAGTTTTCTAGGGTTTGCCTTTTGTACCCAACTTTCACTTAGTCATTTCATTCCTGTTTTCTTGTTTCACATGGTATAGAGCGGGTTCCTACATGGGACCGTTCCTTCCTAAGGGCCCACCATAACGAATTTTTTTTTTAGCTGCCCGACGCGCATTGCGCCCCTGCCCTAATTTTTTTTTTAGCGCCCCCCCCCCCCCCCCCCCCCCCCCCCCCCCCCTAGCGGCCCCTACGCGACCCCTACGCGGCCCCCACGCGGCCCCTACGCGGCCCCTACCCGGCCCCTACGTCGCCCCTGACGCGGCCCCTACGCGGCCCCTGACGCGGCCCCTACGCGGCCCCTGACGCGGCCCCTGCGCAGCCCCTGACGCGGCCCCTGACGCGGCCCCTGCGCAGCCCCTGACGCGGCCCCTGACGCGGCCCCTACGCGGCCCCTGACGCGGCCCCTGACGCTGCCTCTGAGGTGGCCCCTGACGCGGCCCCCTGACGCGGCCCCTCCGCCGCCACTACCGCGGCCCCTACGCCGCCCCTGACGCCGCCCCTGACGCGGCCCCTGCCGCGGCCCCTGACGAGGCCCCTGGCGCGGCCTCTGACGCGGCCCCTGCCGCGGCCCCTGACGAGGCCCCTGGCGCGGCCCCTGACGCGGCCCCTCCGCCGCCTCTACCGCGGCCCCTACGCCGCCCCTGACGCCGCCCCTGACGCGGCCCCTGCCGCGGCCCCTGACGAGGCCCCTGACGCGGCCCCTGCCGCGGCCCCTACGCCGCCCCTGACGCGGCCCCTGACGCGGCCCCTGACGCGGCCCCTGCCGCGGCCCCTGACGCGGCCCCTGACGCGGCCCCTTCGCCGCCCCTGTTGCGACCCCTACGCCGCCCCTGACGCGGCCCTCTACTGCACCTGACGCGACCCCTAGCGGCCAGCCACTGCCGTCCCTGAGGCAGCAGCCGCCGCCGTCTCTGCAGCAGCAGTCGCACCAGCCACACCAGCCGCCGAGCCGTCGAGCCGCCCAGCAGCCGAGCCGCCGAGCCGCCCAGCAACCGACCGCCGAGCCGCCCGGACCGCCGAGTCGCCGAGCCGCCCGAGCCGCCCGAGCCGCCGAGTCGCCGAGCCGCTGTTGCCGCTGAGCCGCTGTTGCCGCTGAGCCGCCCGAGCCGCCCGAGCCGCCGAGCTGCCGAGCCGCCGAGCCGCCGAGCCACCCGAGCCGCCCTGTCCGGTAAGAGCAGAGCCTCTGTCACTGCACTGCCCTTGCCCTACTGTTCCCGCTGCTAGTCTACTACTGTCATGGCTACCCCTAGTGTCCTCGCTTTTGACGCTGAGGGTCGGGCCATTGCCTTTGAAGTCTGGGTAGATGACCTGCAGCTTTTCCTACAGTGCGATAGGGCAGACGGTCTCTCCCTCTTTGACCTCACCTCTGGTGCCTCTCCTGCCCCTGCTGCTGATGCCGACGCCACTGTTCGCTCACAGTGGGCCACTCGCGATGCTGCTGCACGTCTTGCTGTGCGTCGCCACCTGCCTACCTCTGAGCGTGCGCACTTTAGCCAGTACAAGAGTGCTCAGACCTTGTACGACGCTGTAGTTGCGCGCTACTCCTCCCCTGCCACTGCTGCACTGAGCCGCCTCATGCTACCGTACCTCTTCCCTGACCTTGCTGCCTTTCCCACAGTCGCTGACCTCATTACGCACCTTCGCACTAGTGACACTCGCTACCGCGCTGCGCTTCCTGCTGAGTTCTGCGCCAAGACCCCCCCCCCCCATGTACATCACCCTCTACTACATAGTCACCCGGCTCCCTGACTCCCTTCGCGTAGTCAGGGACCACTTCATCTCAGTCTGCCCCACCACTCTCACCGTTGACCTCCTCGAGAAGTCCCTCCTAGCAGCAGAGAAGAGCATAGTCGCTGTAGGAGCCTCTCGTGGTGACCCTCGCACCCCCGTCTTTGAGGGGTGTTCCCCCTCCCCCCTTTTGCCCTCTGTTGCCTCTGCTGCTGCGGCCGACCTCGTTGGGCTTGAGTCGGTCGGTGCGGCGTCTACCCCTAGCGGGAGACGTCGCCCTGGCAAGGGCAAGGGGGGCAGGGGCACTGGAGGAGCTAGCGGGGGCGG